GGCCCCCGGATCCCTGGCCAGCCATCCCCAGGTCCCCTCACCTCCTCAGAGGAAGCCTTGCTGAGCAGAGCCAGGTGAAGATGACGCCTCTGGGCTTAGTGGCCTCACCAGTGCTCTTTGCAAGCAGCAACAACCACCACAGGAAAAGGAAGTGTCGCATCATGATATGCGGAAGAACAGAGCCCCATGACAAGTGGCACATCGAGGCCAGGGCTGCCATTCCTCCTCCAGTGCTGCCCACCAGCCTGGTGACCCAGCATGATCCCCCCACGCAGCCCAGCACCGCGGCAGCCACTGGTCCCGCTGGAGCTGGATGGAGCCTGGGCATGTTCCCAGGGCTGGATCAGCAAAGCCATCATCAAAACGTTCCTCTGAGGGTGCAGAGGAACAGCACAGCCTGGAGCGGGACTGCCCTCCTGCCCCTGCGGGTCCTGCTGGGACGGCTCAAATTCTGACACCGACACCAGCACCGTGGGGATCTCAACAGCCTCACGCATCCAGCACCTCACCACCTGGTTTCCTTTGCTCACCTGGATGGGATTTTGGCTCAGAGAGGACAGAGGAAGACTATGAAATCTGCCTTCACAACTGGAAAAGCACAAGCAGGGAAAAAAGCCATGCAAGCTGATTTGTAAGTAATTTTATCCAAGGAGACATCGGCCCTCTTTACCCTGATGACCGTGAGGAGGTTTGGTGCCTGAAGGAGAGCAGTGAAGAGGAAGGATCTAGAAATTCAGACTAGAACAGCCCTGTGAAACAGAGAGCCCCAAAGGGCCAGTATTTATTGGCAGCAGGCTCAAAGGGTCTCTCCACCATTGCTGGGGGGCCAGGCACTGAAGGAGCAACGCCCTGAGCTGCCACAGAACACATTTTCTAGAGCAGAAAGACCAGACTCTGTGTGGAAGGAATTAGAGACAGCACAGGCTCCGCAGAATTCGTTCTCCCAGCACGCTCAGCCCTCAGCAGAAACCCCTTTCCCCGAGGTTTACATCTAGCACAGCTCCACCTGCGGCTCCAGAGGCCTGCAGGGCACAGCGCTCTTCGTTCTGCCATCGTTTCCACTTGCACTAGCTGAGCAGGGAGTACCACAAGCCCAGCAGCGTGGGCAGGGCAGGGCTGGAGCCGGGCGTTGGGCAGCAGAGCATCCAGGGCTGTTTCATGTGTGGGGACGTGGCTGGGGCAGGAGCACACCTGTGGAGTACAGAGGCTGCTGTGTTCTCTCCCTTTGCCTGGCCAAGGGGTCCTCTGGGACAGCCTGACAGTGCTGGTGGCCCCAAGGAGGAGAGGGCTGGGAGGGCAGGGCTGCTGGGGCAGCAGAGATAGAGGAGACAGCACCGATGAGGGAGGCAGCACCACTGTGTGAGCTGGTGCTCCCAGCCTGGGGCCCTTGACACGGATGGGAGCTTGGGGAATCACATTTTAAGCAGCTGATCAGATCTTCCTTCTTGAATTGAAGCAGCTCCTACATGCTGAGCACGTGCACGAATGAAGCGGGGAAGACACCTTGCCTGTGAGGCTGTCCTTCAATCCACCCTTTCTGCAGAGAGAAAAGAAGGAAAAGAGGGAGAAAGGAAGGAAAAGGAGTGGTGAGCATGGCACAGGGGCATTCAGGGGGATGAGGCCCCGTAACAACTGCCTTTGGTTGCCAAGGAAAAGATGGACGATGGAGATAGAGGTGCAGAGCAGATGACAACCATGGGAGTGACGGGCAGGGAGCAGAGGGAAGGGTTGGATGGAGAGGGGAATAGTGCATCCCAGCACCCGCCAGCCTACGCAGGTTCACTCACCCACCAGTTGCTGTCCTCCTTTTCAGACACCACAATGATCTCTCCTGTGCGGAAAGTCAGCTCATCTTCCTGGTCAGCATCACAGTCGTAGAGAGCGCAGACCCTGCAGAGCAGCAGCCTGTCCTGCAGATAGGTGAGAGCATGGTCAAGCCTTCCCAGCTTCAACAGACACAAACTAAAACAGGTCTGGTGTCTTGGTCCCAAAGCTCCTGGCAAAGACCTGAGGAGCAAGGATGAGAGACTGGGAGGTTTCATGTACAAAGGGAGGGCAGACCTGGCAGGTCACCTGCTGGGGTTTGGGAGGGGCTGGGATCCAGAAGACGCCTCCTTCTGTGGGAGTATCCTTCCAGCAGCACCTACTCCTCTGTCCCAGGACTGCAGCATGTGCAGTCTGGGATCCTGGTTCTCTCAGGGCAGATCTGTGCAAAGAGTCAGCGCTGCTGCTCAGCACAACTCCAAGACCAAGAAACCCAGGTGAGGTTTCCTCTAAACAAAGGACTTTGCTCCTGCACAGTGTCTTTGGGGAGAAGGGAGTCCCCTGGAGCAGGGAGAGGTGGGGCCAGAGTGGACACGGCAACTTGGTCCATGTCCAGAACTGCACCTCGACCTGCCAACAACCCAAAATCATGAACAAGGCTTCCCTCAAAAGGTGTTGGAGCCTTATGGAGATTTTGGTACCATTCCCCACACCTAGCAGGGAGATATCAGTGCAGGGAGATGTCACAGCAGCCTCCTGTGCCTCTGTGACAGCAGAAATGCTGGGAGAAGAAGTTACGGGGTCAACTCCAGCTCAGTTCAGAACAAAAGGTGATGAATGTGGGCAGATGTGGGAGCTGAGCTGATCCTGATCACTGGCCACCTACCGAACTGCTCCAAGGAGGAAGAGGTGGTACAACCCAGGCACGGCCAGAATGCGGATTTGGCTCCTGGAGAGATTGGTGTGGGCCAGGCAGGCAGAGGGGATCCATGGCTTCCAGGGCACCTGTGACACAGTTGGGCTGATCATCCTCTCCCACCTTTTGTCACGGGTGGACAACAGCAGCCACCACTGTCAGGCCACACACTGCAGCATGTCCTTCTCCACGATGCAGCAGAGGCAAAAATCACTCCATCACTCTGGGAGCTGGAAAGGGGAGGGACTGGGGATGGGGTGGAGAGGGATGGCAGGGGACGTGTCCAGAAAGCAGAAAGACGTAGAGTGGAGGCTGGAACAAGAAGCGTGTTAGCAGGAGTTGGGAGATGGACTGTGTAACTCCAAGATGCCCCAAGAGCTGTCAGCAGCAGGGAAAGGATGCAGCTGCCACTGGTCATGCACTTGGCACCTTCTGTCCTGCCATGCTCCGCACGCTGCTGAGCTCTGCTGGGATGAGGCTGGTTCCCAGAGGCACCGGGAGGTTTCAGCTCTCCAGACCTCCATGCCACAGCACCCAGGGCTGCTCCTGGCAGCACTCACTCCTTTACCAAAGGGTCGTGCTGTGCGACCCACTGCCTCAGCCTGCCACCCTGCCTGGGTGCAGAGAGGGGGGCATCTTTCTGCCACTGGAGCCAGGCTGCAGCAGCGACATCTCACCCTGCCAGCCCCTGCAGGACCCCGCC